ATAGCCCTGTGTTTTTCATTGTTTTGGTCGCGAAAATCAACGACAAATAGAGCGGATTATCCTTATTCGCAAAATACAAAAATATATTAACGTCAAAAAATTAAATCACAAGCTATAGTGTTTATATTCCTTCTTAAACAATGCACAATCTGAAAATAACATCCAAACAGGGTGCCATCCACCTACTTTTTTCACTATTCTAAGTCTTCTGCATACCCTTTAAATTGAAGAGCTGATTCACCGGCTAGCTCCAAAAACCACACATTCGCATCCGACAGGTACTCTCTTCAAATGCAAGGGTCAATGCCACTAAATTCAATTTTACTAAATAACTGAAACACAATACTAGTCATTGAAATATAGTAACTCTAAACATTTAGAACCTCAAATATCCACTTCAATTTCAAAACTGTCTCTTATTTGTAAATTTGACCCTGGCCAACTCGAAACTAAACAACCGAAACTGTGTACTGCCTCCTTGTTTAGTTGTTCAGTTAAGTTATCCAAGACTACATCAGAATATTCAAGAAGTGGCCGCCGAACAAAAGAATAATACATGCGTTCTCTACGTATTCGCGGTAAAAGAAATTTAATATTTCTAAGTAACCCAATTCTCAATCCAAGTCACAGATAAATATGGGTTTCCAACGTACATCATGAGATTATGTTACACCAAAATAATAATGTGATGTGACCTGAGCTATTAGTGTTGAGTAATAACTAAGTGTGGAATGAGATACTTGAGATTATTTCCTTGAAAAAAAAATTGATTTTGTGCTAGCTGGATTAACACCGGCTTAAGCAGATTTAAACATGAAAGTGGTGAAATTATGAATTAGATACATCCACAGATGCGTTCATATGGCGGTTATCTTGGAGCCTTCAATATGGCAATATTCTGAAAAGTTGCGTATGGACCCTAAGTGAAAGAAAGCGTGTGCCCTAAGCGAAAACACAATCGGCATCGGCGGGACTAAACAAAATGGAATTTTGAAAGAAGATCAGAGGTTATGAAGTCTGCATATCACAGATAAGCTTCAAAAGATAAAGGAACTAACCCTTGCGTTTATTAATACTCAGAGACTATATTTGAGGGTAGAAAATGGTCTGTGAAAATGCTTTCAAAAGTGGTTGTCGTCTTACACGTTGATTATCTGCCGAAGCCGAGTTCCTTCTCAACGCCGTGTACGTACCGGGAAGAGCAGATCGAGCGAGGTGTGGTTGAAAAGTTCTTTCTTATCAAATTATACATAGGTGTTAAAAAATTATCTCTTACCTTATTTATACATTACAAGTAAAATCGTTTTTAAAAAGTTCTGTCTTAGCTTATTTATACAAATGCGTTGAAAAGTTCTGTCTTACCTTATTTATACATATGAATTCAAAAGTTCTTTTTGGCCTACTTTATGCCATGGTATTTAGTCTAAATCTGACCTTAGAGTGTATAAAGCAATATATCTACTTCAAAAATTATTGTTTTAATTTAAGAATAAAAAAAATCAAAATGCTTGGATGAAAAAGTGGTTGTAAGATTTATAATTTTTATTAAACATTCTGTTCATTAAATTAGTCAAATTTCAAGGAACAGGACCTTAATAATTATAATGCTGGTATTTCAACATTTCACTAACATCACACTGTTCTGCCATTGCGAGTATTGTAATGCTTTCCAGTGAGTAATTTATTTGTGATATAATTCATGAACCACACCTAAACAGGCGATAACGATAAAACCATATACTTCCAAAACGATGAATATGTTAATTAAAATTATGTACATTACAACGAAATAAATGTTATAAAGTTAGCGTCCAGAGTTTTATATTTAGTACAATGATAGCTTAGGTATGTACTGAATAGTTATATGTGCGTGCGTGCGTGCGTGCGTGTGTGTGTGTGTGTTATAAATTAATAATATATGTTAAATTGTATTGATAATATGATTAAGAATATACTTTTGTGCAGGAAATTGTTTATACATGATTTGTAAAAAAAAAAACATCATTGTACAAAGAAGAGCAACGGGTTTTAATTTTGCAATACGAATGTGTCATTAGAATAAATGTGATTATAATAATTGATTCTGACTTTATAAAGGTGTATAACACTGCAATTTAGTAACCAATTAATGTTTATATAGGGTCATATAAACTTTCAAAACTCTTTATAACTATAAATGTATAATACGGATATTGCTTAATTTATGCATTTACGTATATTTGAAAGTCATTGTGCAACGTTATGACTTCGTTACATGACTTTTCGTGGCTCATATAGTCGCGAATAAACGATTATTAAAACACTAACAATATTGATAACTATCTTAGCATGCATCATTAAACACAAACAATTACAAAAAGCAGTTTCTTTTCACAAATTATTATTTATTGATGAAAAAGATTTTTACATATACAATTTATCAAAAGTTCCAAACATTCATCTTTCTTAAATTTTGAATAGATGACACTATTAAAACTATTTCTATTTAAAACGACGTTTTTTTACTTGAAATACAAGGTGGATATTTCGGGATGGATATGTTATCATTGTCTTAAAAAAAGAAGATATAAATACATAACAAGTATGAATAATTCAGGTTTCCCGATTAGAAATTCAAATTTCCCCCAATACTGTATCTTTTTAAACTATATGTATATTGAAATGTTTTCTTAAGTGTAAACGAATATAAATATAGTTTCCTAATTCTGTCGCGTAGTAAGTTTTAATTACTTTACACGAGGTGTAACTTAGCGGAACATTTAGCCACACCTTTTCGATTCATTGCTAGGTCAACTGCTCACAAACAGTATCACAAACATAAGCACGTGTTCTTTTGTGCAAACCAGGTCAACTAGTGACTATGTATTATCTCAGTGTAGCGATTGGATAACAAGTTAGCCAATTTACATAAAACTGTAAACACCGGAAAGGTCCATACGATCACTATTACAGATATTAATAGGATTTTCTACAGTTATCATTTCCCCTGTTATTTTATGAGCAGATAAAAAATCTTAAAAAATTACTCGATATGGAAGATTATTTTAAAGAAAGAAAAATATTACTCGTATTTGTTTTCTGTACGGTTTAAATATTGCAAAATAAAGTGGGTACAGAATCATTAGAACACGCAATGACAGACACGAACGTTTACAATTCATCGATACATACCAAACGCGTTTCTATGTATTTTTAGATACATGAAACAATGTAGGACACTTTCAATAATAATTTAAATGTAATACATTTAACTGTTATCGTATTGCTTTAAATAAAGAAATATTATCTGTCTCAGGGGTGTTTATCTGTTATTTAACACCTGTTTACGAAGGCATCAAAACATTCTTTAGAAATTTATATATAACAATGACTTTTATTTTACGCTTTTCAATGAGGTCATACAACTATATGTACATTTCTTCAGCGTGATATTCAATATCACTCACTGTACATTGTTTACTGAATGGTATTCCACCGACATAGGATGACTAAATTTATGCTATATAATAACATAGGTAATTACCATCTATTTCTAGGACGCGATATTTAAATCATAGAATAGTCTTACCAAATTTATACCTTGGTGTTGGAAATTCCAATCTTACTTCACTTATACCTTGGTGTTGGAAAGTCCAATCTTACTTCACTTATATCTTGGTGTTGGAAAGTCCAACCTTATCTAACTTATATCTTGTTGTTGGAAAGACCAACCTTATCTAACTAATGCCTTGGTGATGGAGAGTCAAAACCCACTTAATTTATATATCGATGTTGGAAAGTCCAATCCCGCCTAATTAAGACCTTGGTGTTGGAAAGTCCAATCTTGGATTATTAAGACCTCGGTGTTGGGAAGTCCAATCTTCCTAATTTATATTTCAATTGGAAAGTCTAAACTTCTAAGTTCTTGTGCGAGTTTGTCCTGTGAGTGTTTGAATAACATTTTGACATGCACAGATCTAAATTAAATTTCATTTCATTGTTAAACAATACATATTTTCATAATCAATTTATAATCTAATAGCTGTATTTCATTGACATTTTATTCAACATGAAAAAATCTAGTGTTTTTTTTTTTTATTATGTACATGATTGAAAATGTAAAAATATTTAATACTTTAAATCGCACTGTAGTATCATTGGTAAACAAGGGCATACTCGTATACATAACAAAAAACGATCAACTACTAGCAGTTTTGTTTCTTTATTCACTGTAAAGATATCATTTAATAAAAAAAATGTAACACCGAAAATTAAAAGTTGAGTTAACATATCATCGTATACCTAAAATTATAAATAGTGAGATACTTCTATAACTTTGTTTCATACTGTACACAGATAATAGCACGATATACAAGTATGATTAATATAGCCTGAAATATAAATTCGAATAGCGTTCAATTCAAATCGTGTAATTATATCTCTCAGTTATGAGCCCTAAAGGGTCGCGACCATGCTTCGTCACATAACGCCAGGAATGATAGGTTCTGGGAAACGGACATGAGAATGGTTAAAATAAAATCACAACCTTTCTTCACAATCAAACATTATCGAATACCAGTATTTATATATTTATATATATTGTTGTTTATAAAAGATATTTTAATGCACATCAAATAAATTTGGACTTAAAAATAATACATAATGTGTACTGGTTCTTTCATATTTGAGGAGTGAGAAATTCATGTAGTTCAAAACTATATACTCATGTGACAACATTTCCACATTCCAAAATATAACTTATACATGTACAAGGAATTCCAGATAAATGATAACTAAAGATCACACGTTCGATGTGTACGAATATGGATGACTAATATCCATACCAATCTTAGACGTTGTCAAACGGTGATTGTCATTGTATCAAACGGTGTTTCAGATATATATATATATATATATATATATATATATATATATATATATATATATATATATATATATATATATATATATATATATATATATATATATATATATATATATATATATATATATATATATATATACATGTATATATATATAAAAATCCCCTCTTATAAGTTTTAAAAACTATTAAAAGAATTAACGCAATTCTCTACTACTTGTGGATAAACATGGGTGAACATATCAGCTCACGTTCAGTCCTTTACAGCATAGTTGCAATAAATATTTAAGCTTTTAAACTCTTTACTTTGTCTGAGAGCGAGTCCACTGCGTATCTTTCCTTCGTTGTTTTCACTTGCCAGTCAAACAATGAGTTTAACAGTAATGCTTCATAAGGAATGAAAACGACCTGATCTTGCTTAAATATAAGAGTTCGAATCGATCTTGCTTAAATATAAGAGTTCGAACAATTTAGCCACAAATGGCTCACAACTCAAGTTTTTTCGCCAGTCTCCAAATACTATATTCACTGTCGTGCTAGTGACATAACACACGAATGTTCACGACCTCTGACCTGTATGTCAGTACAACGTTGTACTATATCTTATTCAGCAGATCATTTCATGCTATCCATTTGACAAAACAAATTTATTTATATTCAGCACTTCCATGCACTTCTTACTAATCTTCGACAACATTCGCTTTTGCAAGACTTTATTCTTTGGAAAAGCATAAATATTTTCACTAAAACGCAAACGGAATACTTTCTTCATTGAATATTTCCTGTCTGTTAATATGAGAAATAATTGTCCTGTTAAATTTTTCTTCCCACTGTATTTATCTAGTTTAACACGCATATGTTTCTTCTGTTTTGGAGATGTCGACATCAGGTTGGTTGATTTTAACGGATGCCATGCCCATCTTGAAACCCTAACTCTCAAACATCGTCGATTCCCTTTGCATACCTGACTCTTCACTTTTACTTTATACACTGTAATTAATGAATATGAGAATTTACAATATGATAACTTCTACCAATCGTTCATGATATTAGTTTGTAAAAACCTTGAAGGTTTTGTTTTCCATTAATCCAGTTCTATAGTAAAGATTCTATACATTAACAAAACAGACAGCGCTTTATGAAACCACAAGGAGCTAGAATTTGCGCCGTCAAGTAGCTAAGGAAGCTAATTTTGAATCATTTGCTCCTCGCCACGGACGGTTCGAATCCCATCAGGGTCTTTCAATTCTAAAGTGCCTGTATATTACATGTCAGATACATGCTCCTGAACCAGCGGTCGTTCTTTTACAGTAAGGATTGAATTTTCCCATATTACATTGACAGTTCTAATAAAAACAAAACAAATAAAAAATACAATACTAGTACTAAAATACATAAAAATACCATATGGAACCATATAAAATCACATTAACTCACAGCACCTTGTCATATCAAACACGTCAGACGCACCAAACCTACCATGATCAAATTCCTTGCATATTTTCTGGCTCACCCGCCTCAGCCTCAATATTTTCGGTTTAAAGAACTGGTCGTTGTGCGCTGATCTATGGCATGTAGCTTTAGCCGATCTCCTATGGTAAGCTTCCAGATTACAACAGCTAGTGTTTCAAAAGAAAAAAAAAACATTTTGTAATTCTTGTATGTGAGGGAGACTGTTAGAAGCAACAATTATGTATAGACACTGTAATTTATGTAGCAACTTATCTAGTTAAAAGACCATTTTTATCGACAAGAAATCAACAGTAACACAATCGTTTAAGAAGATGTAATTGACAAGAACGTTTAAACATTTTTTATAACTAAATTATATGTTGGTAAAAGCCTGCCTTACATATTAGTCATGTACTAAAGAACCAAATCTGATCATATGACCGGGATACGAGTTAAATACTAGTAAACCCAAAGCATGACGTTAAACTAATCTTATTTATTATATTCGCAGAGTATTTATTTTGTATCTGATATTAATCTTATGAAATGACAAAATGAATCTGAAACAAGAAAAATATTACATACATTTGTATATAATATTGGTAGGATTGCATGACAACTACATTGTGTCTAATTATTGGTTTCCAGCTATGCGCAAACTGTAGGCAGTGGACTGGTTCCATGCTCATTCTTACAGCTGAGATTTCGTACAGTTAAACGTCCCCCGAGCAAATTATTTACAAATTGAGATAACGAGATAATATATTGATTAAATCTAGTGTACTTACACATGCTTTATCTCCTGCTTATGATCGTGGATCCGGTGCTCATGTTTACTCGTACAACATGTTTGATACCGGGGGTCATAAACCACATCCCCACAACATTTCTTACGGCGGCTTAACTTCTTAATACTGAAATAAAAATGATACTTCATATGCCATTCTTTGTCATCTATTAAACTACTAGTTCGTGCAGTAACATAATAGGCAACAAAAAGAAAAGTTATTGATTGAAATATGACAGATATTTTAATCTTCTTGAACTTTGACCCCCAATCCCCAACACTTGAACGACCAATTATAAAATTCAAACAAACATTTATATCATACCGATATTTAATTCAAACGTAAAATGAGCACGATTCAATTGTGATACTATTCTACCTAAAAACGTATTAAGTTCTGTGATTTTGTTAAAAGAAGAACTTATATTAAGTCTATACAGTTTTAATGCAATCAAAAAATTTGCCCCATACTACCAATTCCTAACCTACATACTTATTTAATATTAAGATATTAGTTTGTGCATTATCAATCTTACAAACGTGAAAGTACTGTTGCACTTAGATTTGTACCTTAATTGCAAATGATGTATACTGTACGAAATAAATTCATATTTCAAATGTGAAATATGAGCATACAATGCACAGGAATGTTTGTCAATAAAAAATATTGATTGATATTTAGATGTAAATTAAAAAATAAAATAGAGAAGTAATTTACATTCAACTTGAAGATGATGTTAAGGTTAATAAGATAAGATAATATTTTACTCAGGAGTTTTATCATAATGTGAAAATACCTCTTATATTGAAATCAACTTTACCCGCAGTTAATGCATTGGTTTTTTATTAATGTTCTACCATACTGATATCTTTTTTTCTTTTTATCTTTATCTAACATATCGGTCCTTCTTGGAAGAAATTTAAAACTTGTGATGGCTTGCCACCGATCTATCGAGGGCTAAACAACTATAGATATTCTACATTTAATTGCGTTCGGTTGACTTCTCCCAGGGTAGTTGTACACTGCATTGTCGAAAGTTGTATAAAGGAGTAGCAAAAATAATGTACTAAGACAAAGTGTTATTACCCGCATGTCCCCTTTACAACGAGCTTGTTATCTACACAGGAATGTGTATTTACATCATATTTCTCATCCATCGGAGGGACCCCACAAATCAGAAATATTTTCGGTTTAACGATGCCGTTTATACAATCTTGTATCGTACTGTTGTAGCGATGCATCCCCTTGTCACCACAATACAACATAATTGCTGGTGATAAATAATGTTAAAATTATATTTACATGTTTACATAATTATGTATAGTTTATCAGATGAATAATAAGGTAATGCATTCAAATATGTTTCTTGTAAAGTAAGCAAAAGTTATATATAAGGAAAACATAATCTTATATTATATGCATTCAAACCTTAAACGTATACAAGAAATGATGTATGAATTTTATTACCTTTCAAGAAATTGCTTCCTGTAAACAAAAACATTACAGCAACTAGTTTAATAAACATTTCTGTAGATTTATCCCAACTGTCTCTTCTTGAAGCTAAATCCTTATTACAGTTCGGCTTTAAATACTTAAATACATATATACACACACACACACATAGGATTTAAGGTGTAAGTATATAGTAAATATAGTCCTTTCGGGTTCCCGATGCGTATCTAAAAATAAAACAGGTATTACCCAAAATCATCATATACATTTTTATCAGATTAACTGTCATACCGTTAATTTTACAAAAAGATGGGAACTCAATTAACTTAAGCTGGGTTCCCGATCGTTTTTGCTGAAATTAATAACGGGTGAGCATTTCTTAGCTAAAGAGTGGACGTATGGTGAATATTTGGTAGGAAAAAATATCACAGGCGTTTTGGGAAATTAGTGCTTTTACAGCTAGGAAAAATTATATTGTTAAATTGAACATTCATATAATTTTTGTAGCAAAATAATGTATCAATAATTTTCTATACAAAAATACAAACATTTATAAACCTTCCATGTAAATCTTTTATGGACAAGTATTAACGATTTTAAGCCTTAAAATAAATTTCAATATCATTATTGGTCGCGTGTTTTTTTTTCTTTAACATTTTTAAGATGCCAACTTGACAAGAGTTTTCACATTCTGTGTTATATGTTTTATAAGTCTTTTATAATAATGAGACTGCAATGTTTTAAAAAGACATCCTACTGTTCCTATGCAAAAGATAGTGACAGATAGCCAGCCCACTTTAGTATATTTGATGTCGCGGGTTCAAGTCGTTGCTAATTTCCAAAGAAATACCAGAATGGTTGTTATGTCCTTAAACGATCATGGTTTTAAGTATTCATCGTGCCATCTTAATAGCGTCCAATTGGTGCCGTCTGGACACCAAAATCATTCGCAACATTTCGGTCCTTTCTGTCAGTCTTCGGATGAGGACAATAGGCGAGGATATTCTAATTGCACCAAATAAGAACGGACCCATTTTATAAGCTGTCCGGTTAGCTCAATAAGTTGAGCATTGGACTGTGACCGGACGATCCTGGTTCGGTTTCCGGACGGCGCAGGACACTTTCGTTGCGACTGATCATGAAATCTTTTCTACGGTCATTCGCACTGTACCTCTGCTCTGGTATGTACAGAAGTTTCAGTTCCTTTCGAAAGTTCATTTACATGCCCAGTGTATAGCACTGATACATGCGAGGATTACCTGGATTTCTTACCAGTACACCTCTAGGTATGTGGAAAACATTGAAAGGGTCTCTGAAAGATCCTAAGCTAGGGTGTTACCCAGGATCGAACCCGGGACCTCAGGAGTTATCGACAGTCAGTGAGTCAGTGGTCTAACCAAATGAGCTTTCGCGCCACGATATTCCCGATATGGCGACTATGGCGACCGACAGCGTGAGCCCTGTTCCATTTTGCCACTGTCTTCTCCGCTTCAGTTTTGCTGAAGATTAAAGTTGATGTTAAATTTTTCAGCTCCTTCGGAATTATTGATTCAGGCAAATTGTTGAGTGTTGAAAATTTATAGTTCCACTCAAGCCGCTATTTTGTGCACTTTTTTCAGTATCCTTCGATGGACCCTCGTGTACAGACTTCACAACTGCAGGTGTCCAGTGCCGTGCGGCAGATGTAAAAAGTTGCCCCGTATTTACATTTTTCTGGTCCTTTTGGATCATTAATATCGGCACTTTAAAGTCGATGCTAGTGACCGCGTGAGGAGACGGCCCACTGAATTTTCAACCCATATATCCTATAGTAAATCCATCACATTTAAGGCTAAATTCTGGACAAAGCAAATCCGGTACCGAAACTTCATGACCATTTCTTTAAACACCAATGCAGTCCAAGTAAATTTAGCACAAAAAAATAATACATTAGCCCTTGGAGTTTTTCTGCAGCTTTTAATTTCTGTAATCACTATAGATTATTCCAAATAGTAACTGGTGTGTATTCTTGTGCATAGTGCCTCCTGAAACCTTCCACCCAGAAATGAAATCCTGCAAAAATACATCAAAAACAACCTTTAAAGTACTCAGAAATGAAACTTTATGTACACAATTACTAAAGATATACTTAAAATATAACCAGTATCAATTAAGATGACTTGAAATAGGCCATTTCAAAATTTAAAAGAACTACTTTCTAGACTACAACGGGCTGGGTCTAATTCCGTACCGGGTTGAGACCGTGAGGGATGTTGCACTTTTTCTTTATTCCTGGGCAAAAAGAGTGTAAATTGGTTGTGATTATCGCTGAATCGAGAGATACCCTTTTCCCGGCTTTTTTTTTTGTCTGCAAAGTTTTTTACAGTATATCTGTTTTGGAACCAATTCTGTTCAATGCCTCTCGGGCATGTAGGTATAATTCATGCCTTTATAGCAATACATTCATTTCGCGAAAATCAGTTAATTTTGTAATTCATGTCAACTTCAATTTCGGTTTATATTGTATCTAATGTAAAATATATCTAGAAATCGGTGGGGTGAAAATCCCGGAATCGCCTATAGAAAAGCCGGGACCCGGGATCGTATTAAACATATAGTAATCCCGGGAATTGACCACCTACTCTCGATGTATTTTTATTATTATTGTTATAATTATTATTTTTTTATTATTATTATTATTTAATTATTGTTATTATTATTATTATTATTATTATTATTATTATTATTATTATTATTATTATTATTATTATTATTATTATTATTATTATTTGAATGTTTTTGTAGAGATTTCTAAATAAGTTTGATTTGTAGTAGTTATAAAAAATCTTTGAAAATAACGTATTTTTTTCACAGACAAAAGCGTTAATTAATTGACCTCAGAATGTCACACACACAAAATCTTATTTAATATTGAAAGTACATGTAATGGCAATGGAAGTCGTTGTATATTGGGCATCAAGAGTGAATAAGAAAAAGTAAACACAAGTTGTCAATCAATTCCGCCAGAAAAGCCGGGATCGTATTAAAAAATATAGGGATCCAAGGAATTGCCCAGTTCAAGAATATAGTTTTCAGAAAAGCCGGGATCGTATTAAAACATAAATAAACGTATATAATAATTTTATGGCTTTGATGCGTAAAATATCATGCATACAAGCATGCTATTGCATGTGAATGCGTTGGGGTAACGGTACCGGGTAATTGATACCCGCGTTTAGTCTACGCTCTATTTCCTGAATAACATCTATTTATCTCTTAGATAATGGTCTGTTCAACAATTGTAAATGAAAAATAGGTCCGATATAATAAAATTGTATAATTATAATGGGTTAGATTTTATGTACGGGAACTACTTCTCTTCATACAAAATAATGGATAATTTCGGTACCCCATATGAGGCCTCATAAGTAAGGGTTTTTCTATGTTTAGAACATGATGGAATTTCCATGATTTGTGTGACGAGCTGAATAATGATGTGTAACATTCAAATTGTGGTGAGTGAGCGTAATAAAAAATAATGTTTAAGTAACTATGATTTTTGTACGGGAACTGCTCGCATGCCAGTAGAGATCTCAGGAATTGGCCAGTTCAAGAATATAGTTTTCAGTAAAGCTGGGATCGTATTAAAGCATATAGTGATCCCGGGATTTGACCAATTCAAGAATAAATCTTTGATTTTTCCAATTAATTAGGCATATAATTATAAGTATTGTGATTTCCGCATTTAAATTTAAATTTGTTGATAAATAGCTCTACAGTAAATATATTTATCGATATATCCTAAGTTAAATTAATTTAACGTTCATTACATACAATCAAAAATAAAATCTTAACGTTTAATGGCCTTTCATTACGACAATAATCAACACAAATATAGTTTATTAGTTTTCCCTCTATATCTAATACGATCCCGGATCCCGGATCCCGGGATTCCCCCCCCCCCCAAGAAATCTCTAATTTTCAGTATTTTTCCTTGTTACTATATTATCAAATCATACATAATTAATGGAGAAAATATTTTATTACAAATAATATTTTATGTTAAAATACAATACCATGTTATTTAGAGATAATGAAAAAATACTTCATTTTGCTTTCGTAATTAAAGTTCCGTGCGCTCAAATTTGAAAACCCCGAAACTTAGCGTGCCTTTTCCGACGCTTTTTTGGCCTTGCTTTTTGACAACAAAGATTCGAACATTTTTTGCTAAATTCTATTCAAAATTGCTAAAAGGTAAGGTTAAGACTGCTGTAACTTTGTAGCAAATATTATGATTTTCGATTTTGCAACCCATTTTTGCGTGAATGACATGTATTGTTGAAGCAGCGACATTATTTACATATGACCTGGGCTCTGGAATTAAAAATATGGCGGAATTCTTTGTTCAAAGTGCGGCATTTTGGGCTAGTCAGTGCCAGACTTGTATACATTTCTTCACCCGTTACCGGAGACGTGCATTATATTTTCTGCATTCTTTCATAGAGTACCGTTACACAGTGACACACAAGTTTGATGTGTGTATCCTGAAGCAAAGCTGAAAGGAAAACGGAAAGTGTGCAAATTATCACAGATGTATTTACAAACGGATTTTCGCGAAAATAAGATCTTGGCTACGAAAATAAAATTTATTTTTTATTTAACTTAGTTTTGATGTTATTAAATGTTTTGTAATATGAAATTAGGCAAAGCCTATAAACAGGGTTGTCGTTAAAAAAATCTTTTCATTCTTTCCGTTTTAAAGGTGTCAGGTGTCATAATATTTCGGTATTACATGCACCGCTTCCGTTTTCACTCGGAACACTCGTCGATTATTATTGATCCGAAAAGTTGAGATTTGTTCTGTTATCGGAATACCCCGCCTATTATCATTGAGTTTCATTGTAAATGGCTGCGCCCGACTAGAACTGACACTGAAAATTTCATTGATAGGTATAGAATTCTATATATATTTTTAATTGTTTTTTTATTTTCTTTTAAATATACACGTGTAGTCTATAGCCGGGCAAGCCAAAGCCCGGACCCGCTTCGCGGGCCCGGTCTTTGACTTCCCCGTATGAATGAAATAGATCTAATAAAGAATGAAATGTTTTGTAATAAAATGTAAGAAGTTTGTGCGGCAAATATGGTTAATATCCCAAATATAATAATGAAAATACTATTTCTACGTAAATAAGATCCAATATACCGAATAAACGTCTTATATTTCGTAACAAAACATTCTTTATTATTTAATTCATTAACAATAATCATTTATTAACAACAAAAATACTTTTAATTCATCATCAATAAATCTTATTTTCGTAGACCCATTCTTATTTTCGCTATACGCAGCGATTTCAGCTATTTGCGTACGATGGTATTTTCGGCTCCCAACTTCACTTTTTAACTTTTTTTTGTTCTGAAATTTTCATTTGATGTAAAATCATTCAATTATGCATAAATCTATAATGAACATAATTATTTAAACAGATAAATGCACTATTTCATAAATAAATCTTATTTTCGCGAAAATCGCTTATTTTTGGTATCCATCTTTACCGATTTTCAAAAATATGCCATATTTTTGAAAATCGGTAAAGATGGATACCAAAAATAAGCGATTTTCGCGAAAATAAGATTTGTCATTTTTTTTATACCAGAATGGTATAAGAAAAATGACAAATTTGCAATATAAATGTTTCAGGAGCACCATTCCTTTAATGAATAAGTCGTTCTCCATTGAAAGACCACGCACTTTCTTTATTTTACATTTTTACATCGACCGGATTGTGCGAAGTCTTTCCCTAATTGGCAAATTTCCTATAGCACAAATCAACACACTTTTTGGAGTTGGTTTGAATTTACCGGTAAATCACAACTTAATGTTATTTCTCACAAAAGGCAACGGATTGCATGAAAAACTGAAGCACTTGACACTTCATTTTTGCAGGGATTTTTTTATGCCAGCGCAGCATCTGCGATGCGGTGGCATATAGCGATTCACCTGTGTGTTTGTTTGTGTGTGTTATAAAGATTATATAGTGAACTTGAAAAATCTTCTTGTGAAAAACCACTAGTCCAATTTCAACCAAACTTGGCAGGATTGATCCTTGGGTGAAGGGCTTCCAAAGTTGTTCAAAGAATTTCATTCCATGCAGAAGTCTGGTTGCCATGGCAACCAAAAGGAATTATAAGAATAAATTAAAAAAATCTTCTTGTAAAGACCCAAAAGGCCTAGAGCTTAGATATTTTGCATAAGGCATTGTCTGGTAGACCTCTACCAAGATTGTTCAAATTATAGCCCTGGGGTCAAAATTGGCCCCGCCCTGGGGGTCATTGATTTTCACAATATGTACATATAGTAAAAACATAAAATACCTTCTTGTAAAGACCCAAAAGGCCTAGAGCTTAGATATTTCGCATAAGGCATTGTCTGGTAGACCTCTACCCAGATTGTTCAAATTATAGCCCTGGGGTCAAAATAGGCCCGCCCCGTGGGTCATTGGTTTTCCTTATATGTATATAGTTAAAACTTTAAAAAAATTTCTTCTAGCAATTAACTCAGAGTTATGGCCCTTGATTAGTTATGCAATATGCATATGGAGTAAAAATCGTTTCCGGTGTAGTTCTCTGCAACTACTGGCTGGAATTCAACAAAACTTTATGGGAATCATCAATATCAAGAGGAGATGCGCATCTGACCGTCCGTCGGAATTTCGTTTCCAGAGTAGTTCTCTGCAACTACTGGCTGGAATTCATCGAAACTTTATGGGAATCATCAATATCAAGAGGAGGTGCGCATCTGACCGTCCGTCCGTCCGAATTTCGTTTCCGGAGTAGTTCTCTGCAACTACTGGCTGGAATTCAACGAAACTTTATGGGAATCATCAATATCAAGAGGAGATGCGCATATCGTCAGCTTGTTCCGGTCAGACCCTTTTACTCTGAGTTATGGCCCTTGATAAGTTATGTAGAATGCATATAGAGTAAAATTTTGTTTCCAGAGTAGTTCTCTGCAACTACTGGCTGGAATTCAACAACACTTTAGGGGAATCATCAATATCAAGAGGAGATGCGCATATCGTCCGCTTGTTCTGGTCAGACACTTTAACTTAGAGTTATGGCCCTTGCTTAGATATGTAGTATGCATATAGAGTAAAAATCGTTTCCGTAGTAGTTCTCTGCAACTACTGGCTGGAATTCCAACGAAACTTTATGGGAATAATCAATACCAAGAGGAGATGCGCATGTCATCGGCTTGTTCCGGTCAGATACTTTAACTCAGAGTTATGGCCCTTGATTAGTTATGCAATATGCATATGGAGTAAAAATCGTTTCCGGTGTAGTTCTCTGCAACTACTACTGGCTGGAATTCAACGAAACTTTATGGGAATCATCAATATCAAGAGGAGATGCGCATATCGTCGGCTTGTTCCAGACAGACACTTTAACTCAGAGTTATGGCCCTTGATTAGTTATGTAGTATGCATATAGACTAAAAATCGTTTCCGCACTACTTCTCTGCAACTACTGGCTGGAATTCAACGAAACTTTATGGGAACCTTCAATACCAAGAGGAGATGGGCATATCGTCGGCTTGTTCCGGTCAGACACTTTAACTCGGAGTTATGGCCCTTGATTAGTTATGCAGTATCCATATAGAAAAATATTTGTTTCCTCGCTACTTCTCTGCTACTACTGGCTGGAATTCAATGAAACTTTATGGGATACTAAGAGGAGATATGCATATAGTCGCCTCGTTCCAGTCAGATACTTATAACTCAGATTTATGGCCCTTGATTTGTAAGGGTGTAACGGTTTACCGGTATACCGATATATTGCAATATGAAAAAATAAATTTCGAGCCGCGGTACGATTTTTGGAAAACCGGTATTTTATAAAAATCATCATTTTCAATTAATTGCCTTCTAATTTAATTTTTGTAGAAATTTCACATAAAATCTTTGTCAAATTTTGTTGGCGCCAACGTAAGATAAAAGTATCCGACAACTAGTACACTTAAAAGTCAATAAGCGGCCGCATAATTTACATAAGCGGCCCATATGTGAAAGGTCACACGTGACTAGTTTTGTTTATCAAATTGTGTGACACTACTTTCTATTTATTCCTTACATTTTTATTAAGTTTCTACTAAAAATATATACATATAATAATAATATATAAATGTTACTCCATCTTTACATCAAAACATATACACGACAATACGTATTGCAATATATTGCAATACGCTTCAGCAAAATGGCAATATATTGCAATACGGTTTTTGCTGTATTGTTACACCCCTATGATTAGTTATGTAGGATGCATACATCTCATTGGCATTTCCAGATTTTACTATTTAACACAAAGTTATGGCCCTGTTATTGCCCTGAATATTTATCAAGTTCAAAGAATATTACTGTTTATGCCATGATTAATATATAAATAAAGCCTTATGTCTTCAGTTGTTGTGTTAATAATAACCAGTACTCGGCGGGGGATATAAATTCAACGAATTTGCTTGTTATCATGTGACTAGCGAGAATTTAGGTTCGGCTACCTTTGCATGACATTTGGTGACCCATGACCCAAATGCTATTTTTAAATGGAAACCTGACTTTGCAATTATGAATAACAGTGTATTTATTCAATAACAGACATTATACCAAAAACATGTTGGGTTTATATTGTTTGAGTGATGATTCATGAATTATTTGTTTTTATTTAAAATCGTACACTTAATAAAAATAGTGTATGGTCCGTTACTAAAAATAGATGCTAGAATTCCCTAAACTTGAAGTCCCTTGAGATTTCATTTGAAAGACTCCTTATTGGTAAACATATCTACATATTTCCCTAACAAATAGTTTGGTACACAATGTCATTGAAGTTTCATTTAAAGACAAAAATGAATTGATTCAAAATTGATTTGATTATCAAATTGTATTTTTATTTGACCCAAATTTGATTAATTAAGAGTGATTATAATAGGTTTTTATGTACGGCAAACAAACTGCCAAAATTCTGGTAGCCTTTGCAAATAGGGTTGACCCATAACTTTACTGTCGCACAACATCAAAATAAAAGGACATACAGGGTTATGGAAGCCAGAACTAATACAGGGCATAAATGGGCACAGGCTTTAACGCAGACGCTTATGCAGACAATATAGGATATATAGGATCGAAAAGGGTTCGATTATTTTCGATGATCGATTATGATTTTTGTCCGATTAAAAAACCCTAGTTCTGTCGTCAATGCATGGTTCATACATAATTATTTGAGATAAATACTGGTAAACAGTCTGCAACATAAATAATTGACTATTAACTCTTCAGAAAATTGTCAACCATGATTTACAGTATTATGACGTAACACCCCCATGCTAGAATTTGTCAAGTGTTTTAGGTTCCCGGCCACTTTATATTGGCTATTTTCCTATAGGTTGCAGGCCACAAATTTATTGCGATTTAGTTCATTTACCATCGCCAAAATGTGGTTTTTTGACGCACATACTTCGATAAATTTTTGTACTCATTGTATATTCTGCGTGAAAAACGCACGTTTGTGCGTTTCTGGGCATGCTGCTGCATTTTACTATGTTCTTTACTGTTAATAAAAGAAATATATAAGTCCTGCAAAATTAATTTTCACTATATATCTAATATGTCTGCGTTTCTTGCAAGTACTTTATACTCATATGTTTAGTGCTTCAAATCTGCAGTTACGTCTAAATATTTGGACCATTAATGAATGTGTTTCAATTTGTTTTCTTGAAATAAATTTTTTAATTAAAATTTCAGATGACTGAAAATGGTGTAAAAGCCGAAATGGATCAGGAAGAAGAAGACAACTTGTTACACTCTGATGAATACAAATTCCTGGTAGAATATGGCATTTCAAAAAAAGTTGCATCAGAGCTAGAAAACATTTATACAACAGGTACTTATAATTGAACAATACTCCAATTGACACTTTCCGAACAAATAGACGACAGGCTATTCTTACCAGTAGAATTGTGAGTAAAGATAACTGGTTGAGTGTCTCCCTGTTTAAATCGTATGTAAAATTGTCTTGACTTGTGGTAGATTTAACCGTAAATTTAAATACCTTTATGTCAAATGATTTGTTGAAATAGATACTGAGATGAAGCTAAGATCGGTGTAATAAGTTTTAAAATGGGACATTAAAAGCGCCCCAGTATAGCAGTTTAAAACGACTACATTTGTATTGTTTTAGCATTAGAGATATAGATTTAACTAGAAGATAGGGAAACAACTCTAGTTCATACCGAGACAGTCAGTGGGTGTATTTGATTATTTTGCTAATTATGGTATAATTGAGTGTTTCTGTTTATTTAATTTATGTAATGTGTTAGTGTAGCAGTAACTAATGGTTAACTTGTATCAGCTGCTGTTAATAATCTTGCAGGGATTGAAAATTCCACTTGTCCACTGGTATTGACAAAGTTTATGTTGGTAATCATGCACAAAATGCAGGTGAAGTAGAAATTTGAAGCTACTTGTCCAGAATATATTTTTTGATCCCAGGCATAAATATTAAAGTTGACTGAAATGTGTACTTCGATACAATTTTCAAGTTATAAACTTTTACGTTTCCATTTTCAGGCAAACTTTCACATTCAGAACTTGATGAAAGGGCCCTGGATGCCCTGAAAGAATTCAACCCAGATGATGCTGTCAAAGTACTTCAACAGTTTACTGAGAGTAGTCTTGAACATGTGACAAACAAAAGTGCTTTCCTCTGTGGTCAGATGAAAACATTCAGACAAAAAAGTAAAGGTGGTGGACCAAATGCTGCACCCAAAGGTCCAGATCCAGATAAAATTAAGGTAAATACTTCATTAAATCAGGCCGTCCTTAAAAAAATGTTTGTTTGCAGTAACCCGACCCAGAATTTTCAAGGTGGGTAGGTAGGTCGATTTATTTTTTTATTATTTTTTTTTTTATTGAACTGTACTCCCAAATAAACATGGAATTTCAAAATGCTGGACAATATATGCTTTGATAATTTGGTAACAATTAATAAATTGATAACTGAATTCTAATTTAATAAGAACTACATTTTATTTCTTCTATTTACCTTTAAAAGAACGAAAACAAAGCACAAGGCATAATTTTCTGATTCAAAAAAAATAATTTTTTTATCCAGACCATGAAAAAAAATTTGAGTAGGGGCAAATTTTGTGAGTCGGTCGCGTTACTGCAAACAAACATTTTTTTAAGGATGGCCTCATACTCATTTTCAACCTCTTTAAAGGTAAGTTGTTGTATAAGTTTAAATGATGTGCATTTTCAACCTCTTACACATAATTCACTTATTTTATGAATTGAACTGAAATTTTCAACTTGTAGAAATCTTGAAAGGAACTCAAATTTATTCATTATTGCTTTGCTGTAGATCAGATATTTTTATAAACATTCAGAATATGTTTGAATTCAGTTTTAAGTAGTCCTTAAAGTTTAGGTAGTTATCCCCCGCCGATGGAATCGGGAGGGGGATATAGTTTTGGTGTTGTCCGTCCGTCCGTCCATCTGTCCGTCCGAATTTTGTTTCCGGAGTAGTTCTCTGCAACTAATGGCTGGAATTCAACGAAACTTTATGGGAATGTTGATCAGCATGTGAAGTTGTGCACCTGGGTATTTTCGTCTGGATATTTTTAGTATTTTTAGAGTTATTGCCCTTGACTTAGTAAAACGTCCGAATTTTGTTTCCGGAGTAGATCTCTGCAACTAATGGCTGGAATTCAACGAAACTTTATGGGAATGTTGATCAGCATGTGAAGTTGTGCACCTGGGTATTTTCGTCTGGATATTTTTAGTATTTTTAGAGTTATTGCCCTTGACTTAGTAAAACGTCCGAATTTCGTTTCCGGAGTAGTTCTCTGCAACTAATGGCTGGAATTCAACGAAACTTTATCATGGGTGCAAGTTTTCCGGCATGTGCCGGAAGTTCCGGTTTTTCACGTGCCGGAGGGATCATTTTTGCGAATCGCGTAAATCCGTTGAGATATTTGGAGGGGCATGGTGCGGGTCTAATCTTTCAAACTGAGAAGTACCACCGATTAGAAGTTCATAATCGAGAACGCTATATAACATACGGATGCTCACGGTTGTTCTCATAGCGTCAATAGTAAACTTTCGCGGAAACTGCCGATAGTTTCCGAAGATATACGAGATGTTTACGAAAACATGTATTATTAATCCCGGCATGCAATTTTATCCGTGACTTTATTACAACGATTTAGATTGGCGCGCTAATTATAATCATCCAATGCAAAAGCGGCTTCGTTACCGATTCGGCTACAGAGTAATATGTAAACAGAAAGTAATGTACAATTTGTTAGTCAAAATGAAGTTTCTACACGAAGGATTTAATACAAAAGATATCGAGAAGACCTCAAAAAATAAATGGAGATGGGAATGGTTGTCTGTATGTGATCGAAACGGGGATAACTACGGAAACTGGCTGGAAAAGCCAGACGTTCCCGGCGTAGCTTTCTGCACTGTATGTAGAAAATCCATCAATGATCAAGTATTGATCCAGCGGGAAAAAAATAATTAAATGCACGCAGACGATCCAAACCATATGAAAAACAAACATACTGTGAAACATAACCAGGCTTGTTTTAATTATTTTTTTTGAAAACAATTTATTGTTTGTATGGAATCAGGGTCAGCTCAGCCCTAATTAAAACGTAAACTCGGTACAAATCAACTCAATTTTCAATTTATTTATATATTGGTTTGTTTTTATCACTCTTTACTGTTGGAACCACAATATTAAATAGTGGAAACAATATATGAATGCACATTTCTTTTTGTGTTGAAATGTTTTTGTTTATATAATTAAGAAAGAGAGAGAGAAAAGAAAATAATTATGTGAGCAATATTTAAGTGAAAATACTATACTACAGTATGTATGTTATCTGGCATGTAATCATTCAAGGGAATTGCATTTTAGGCTTTCAAATGTGCTATAATGCAGGAGCTTCCGGGGGCCTCCGGCCCCCTGGACCCCTGGCCGGTCGTTGCCCTGGACCCACCGGGGGCCCTTGCGGCCCCCTGGCCCCCAAACAAATAGTTCAGGTTTTTCAAAATTTTTAACTTGCACCCATGCTTTATGGGAATGTTGATCAGCATGTGAAGTTGTGCACCTGGGTATTTTCATGTGGATATTTTTAGTATTTTTAGAGTTATTGCCCTTGACTTAGTAAAATTTTGTAATTTTCAACTTGTGTCGCATGTAACTCAAAAAGTATTTGACCTAGAGTCATGAAACTTTACAGGAATGTTGATCAGTATGTGTAGTTGTGCACCTGGGTATTTTCATCTGGATATTTTTAGTATTTTTAGAGTTATTGCCCTTGACTTATTAAAATTTTGTAATTTTCAACTTGTGTCGCATGTAACTTATTGTTATTGCCCTTGACCTTGACTTGGTAAAATTTTGCAATTTTCAACTTATTTGAAAATTGTGAGATCCCTTCTTGATGCCTTGAAAATGGCAATGAAGTCTGGAGATTAAGATGTTTTTACATCTAGGTGAGCTATTGTGATCCCCCACCGTCCGTCGTCGTGCGTCGTCAGCAATTTCTTTAAACAACATCTCCTCAGAAACAAATGACTGCACAGCAACCAAACTTTACAGGAATGATCCTAGGGTGATCCCCTGCCAAAGTTGATCAAATGGTTCCGGTCTGTTGCATAAGTAGGTCACAGGGCCTGAAAAGGAGTTTCAAAAATGCAAAATTTAAAAATCTTGTCTGAAAGTACAAGGCCTAGAGCTTTGATATTTGGTATATGATATAACCTATAGGTCCTCTACCAAAATTGTTCAAATTTTAGCCCTTGAGTCAAAATTGGCCCCACTCCAGGGGGTCATAGATTTTCCTTATATGTATATAGTGAAAACTTCTTCTTGTTTGAAGGTACAAGGTTACAAGTTCAAAGAATATTACAGTTTATGCCATGATTAATATATAATTAAAGCCTTATAAATGTCTTCAGTTGTTGTGTTAATAATAACCAGTACTCGGCGGGGGATATAAATTCAACGAATTTGCTTGTTATTTTTTTGTTCATGAAAAAAAATCATTTTAACAAATATAGAGTTTATTGTTTGCATTATTTTCACTGAAACAAACTGTTTTTTTTTTTGTTTAGAAGAGACAAATAGTATGTGTTAATTAATGGATATAAGCATATCATTTTATTATCACTGGTAAAAGGAAGTGTTGGAAATGAATGTGAAATAATTTGTAGTAAAGGTAGCAAAATGTAAACAAAGTTGTTTTATGACTTCTGTACAAAATAACTAAATCACTGACCGGTCTAGCATAGAACAGAAAAAGCAAAATGATGTTTCAGATTTATGACCTGCAAGGTACTTTTTGGAACCTATAGCAGGGCACCAGAAATAAACAGCTTTGAATATTAAGAAAATAGTATTTTAAGGTCAAATCTTTAAAGGAAAATTAAAGTATTTTGCAAGATAAAGACATGATTTTTCAAAACATGATTTCAGGAAATACTTGATAAATCTGGATACACTTTAGATGTGACTACTGGTCAAAGAAAGTATGGTGGACCTCCACCTGGTTGGGAAGGCACACAGCCTGGCCCAGGGCATGAGGTAAGTTTAACTTTTTTCTCTGAATTTCAGAATATATTTAGATTGGGGGGGGGATTGTAAGTTTTAACTATTGTGTATTTACTTGTCAGGTAAAGGGAAAATGGGATAATGTTAAAATGATTAAAACTAAGAATTATATAATTTTACTCTCGTGTAAATTGTTGTTTTATTATTATAATGTCATTAATTATTTTAAACAGGTCTTTATTGGCAAAATTCCAAAAGATGTG